ATATAAATAGCTCTTTTAGAATAAATTAATAAAATAAATTAATTAATATACATTTATAAAGAGGTAATAAAACTTGACCTAATATAAGCAGTTTTAGAACGTTTAGCTTTTCAAGATAAGGGTAAGGAGGACTAATAACTTTACGAAGGATCTGTAGCTTTTCTGACTTGTTTTGAGCTGATTTAACTTGTTGCTGCCATTCCTTCTTCTTTTCTTTTCTCTGTGAATTAATATCACTTCTTTTAGAGCTGTTTTGACTGTTTGATATTACTTTTTTTAAAGCTGTTTTAATTATTTAATAGTTATTACTATTTTTTGTATATTTTACTTAAGTATAAGGAGCTATTAAACTCAAAAATACAGTTTGTGCTATCCTGCTACGCGTTTTATATGCGTTTTGTTACAGACCTGTTACGCGTTTCGCATATATTTTTGGTATCTGCATTTCGCACTATTTCTCTTGATATAGCAACTCTGTACGTATAAATGCTCGCTCTGCGCACTGAATTAGATAGAACAACTTGCTATTTCAACACTGATCCGTCGATTAGTCAGCAAGTTCAACAGGAGCTTAAAATTAGCGAATTTGATATATGGATAGGCTATGCTGTAGCTGTAGTAGACTTTAAGAAAGGTACTTTAAGTGGCTAATTTTGAGCTTGATTTTCAAGGGCTTTTCAGCTCTGGATTCAAGCTCTCTTCAGCTGAGGCAGGTCTTTAGCTAATAGAGCAGCTTCTATAGTATCTAGAGGCCCTGATATCTCTTCTTGATGATGCTTTTGGGTCATTGAGTTCTTGATATATACTCTATTCTTACTGCGCTACCACAGCTCTGGTGTTGCACCGCAGAAATTAAGGTTTAAGGTTACGGGCGCTAAGGACCCCTGGTCCTAATGCGGACCAATTAAATAAATGTCAAATTTTACCGTGGTTTGGTGGATAGCAACTTTGTATATATAAGTACGCGCTGCTTTCGCACTGAATTAGATAGAACAACTTGCTATTTACACACTATCCATTGATTAGTCAGCACAGTTCGTCAAGTGCTTTTCAGCTGGCATGGCTGAGTTACGGGGAAGACTCCTTAGCTCAGGCCAGACGCAGCTTGGGGATGAATGCCAGCAGAACTCTCCCCTCACGTCGGGCTGCTTCTCCCAGGTTTCACTGGTCAAATCGCAGTTGGCAGCCTTGGAATGTCTTGGGAGAAATGTATTTTACTTTTTCTTGGCTGGCTGTGGCTGTTCCTGGACCCCTGTTGCTGGCCGTGCATGGCTTCCATGTCTGTGATTTGCTCCCTGTATCCACCGCGCCTGGTCTGCTGTGGCCCCATTCCGATGGGCCACGGTTATATCAAGCTGAACTGTCGCTGTCGTCTTGTGCTTCATCCAAAGTATCCCGTCGCAGTGGGGTTGATCCTGGCAGGTGGCACAGCTACCAGTTCTGTTCTGTCTTGCTGAAGCCGGCCAAGTCTGCCAGATCGGCCAAATGAATTGAGAGCTGCAAACAACCAAAAGCCCGACAACTGACAGCCTGAGTAGGTTGCAGTTGATAGACTCTGATGCGATTTCTGTGTAAACCAAACCTTCAGTTGCAATCATGGACAAGCCAGAAAAAGATGGAAATAGGCAGGCTTCTGAATCAACAGGCAATGCCTCACAATCCACTCCATTCCTTCCAGCTATCTCAGCTCCTAAAGGAGGAGGAGCCATCAGGAGCATTGGGGAGAAGTTCTCCGCAAACCCAGTCACAGGAACGGCGTCAATGTCCTTTCCCTTGTCAACAAGCGCGGGAAGAGACGGTTTCGGCATCTCTGTGACCGTCTCATATGATTCTGGTAATGGTAATGGGCCCTTTGGAATGGGTTGGAAACTCTCAACAGCTTCCGTCAGTCGCAAAACCAGTAAAGGCTCCCCGATACGACGACCGGAATCAGTCTGATGTCTACATGCTCTTTGGCGCTGAGGATCTTGTTCCCATTGTTGCGGCAGATGGCTCCGTACATGAGGATATCAATGCTGTGCCTGGTTATGCCATTCGTCGCTACAGACCTCGAGTAGAAGGTGGATTCTCCCAGATTGAGCAATGGACCAACATTTCTGACAGGACTGACGTTCACTGGCGGCAGTTGTCTGGAAATAATGTCCTGACAACATACGGTCTGGACTCCAATTCTCGGATCAGCAATCCAGAGGAGCCTGGACAGATTTATGAATGGCTGATATGCAACTCGCGCGACTGCAAAGGCAACGTGGTCCACTATACCTACAAGCCAGAGGACGGCGTTGGAGCAGATGTGGCGCTCGCACATCAGCACAATCGTGGACCTGGCACTGATCCTCGACGGACCAGCAACAGATATCTGAAGTCTGTTGTTTATGGAAACACCATTCCGCTGCTGGACGGTAGTGGTAATCGTCCGCTATTCCTCTCCACCGTACAAATGGACAGTGCGGGCTGGATGTTCGAAGTAGTATTGGATTATGGAGAACATGACACCAACAACCCAACTCCAGGGGATACCAATCCATGGCACTACCGTCTAGATTCCTTCTCAAACTACCGACCAGGCTTCGAAGTGCGGACCAGCCGCGTTTGTCAACGATTTCTCATGTTCCATCATTTCCCCGAGGAAGTAGCAGTAGGAAAGGATTATCTGGTGCGCTCCGTCGAATTTGGCTATACTCATGGCGATAGCGCAGATCTTGCCTCCATTTTCACCTACCTTACTTCCGTACAGCAAAGTGGCTATCGGAAAGGACCGCAAGGACAATACATTCGAAAGCTTCTGCCACCTCTTGAGTTCACCTACTCTAAAGCGCATCTTGACGATGAATTAAAAGATATCGATCCCGCTTTCCTGAGAGATTTGCCGGCTGGCTTGGCAACGAGCAAAACCCAGTGGATTGATCTGCATGGAGAAAGCATCTCTGGGATGCTGACCGCTGATGAACAGGCGTGGTACTACAAGAAAAACACGAGTCCATTGTATGAGACCGTCTCACAAGGCAGGAAGGTCACAAAACCGCGATTCGAACATAATCAACAGATCCGGTCCATGCCCAACGGGGCTCTCCGACCTCAAAAGGCGCAATTCGCTGACATTACGGGCACCGGACGGCTAGCCATCATCTGTGAGGACGATGGCCTGATTGGCTGCTATGAGCATGATGATGCTGAATCCTGGCTTCCATTTCGCTCCTTCAACCAGTCCATCAATGGGGCGTCCTATTTCAACTCTAATATAAAACTAGTAGATCTTAATGGGGATGGGCTGACTGACATCTTGGCTCCTGAACTCGGTCAATGGTTTGCCTCCTTGGGAGCCGATGGATTCGGCCTCCCACATGCTTTCACCAATGCCGTTGATGAAGAGACAGGGCCGAGTCTGTTGTACACTGATGATATGCAGACAGTCCGGCTGGCAGATTTCTCGGGAGATGGTATGCCAGATATTGTGCGCTTGCGCAATGGAGAAGTATGTTACTGGCCGAACCTTGGGCACGGCAGATTTGGTGCGAAAATCTTGATGGACCACTCTCCCATATTCGATGCAAGTGACACTTTTGATGCAAGGCATATCATCCTGGCCGACATTGACGGTTCAGGTACGACCGATCTGATTTACCCACACCGGGATGGAGCCAAAATATACTTCAACCAGTGCGGCAATGGGTGGAGCACTCCACGGCTCTTGGAGACGGTCCCAACATTTGATAGCGTCGGCACATTTACAGCGATTGATCTTCTGGGGAACGGCACGTCTTGCCTCGTGATTTCTTCACCTCTACCGAATGCATGCTCTATGCAGTATATCGAGCTCATGGGTGGCATCAAGCCCCATCTGTTGACCAAAATTGACAACAACTTGGGCTCTGTGACTGAGATCTTCTACGAATCGTCTACAAAGTTCTACCTCCAGGATAAATACGGGGGCCATCCTTGGGTATCAAAGCTTGCGTTTCCTGTTCATGTGGTTGAATCCGTGCAAACGTTTGATCGGATTAGCCAAAATTCATTTCGGACACGGTACGCCTATCACCATGGCTTTTATGACGCCGAAGATCGGGAATTCCGCGGCTTCGGCATGGTCGAGCAGTGGGATGTCGAAGGGATATCCGCCATAGCAGACCCAAAAGTCAGAGGTAGTGCTAATCAAGCTGCTCCATGGGCAATCCCACCAATCTACACCAAAACATGGTTTCACCAGGGTGCTTCCTACGAACAAGGAACGATATCAAGGAGGTATGAGCAAGAGTATTATCGAGAGCCTGGCCAGAATGAAGCAACGGCACAAAAGTGGCTGCTCCCAGACACTGTATTGCCCCTTGACATCTCCGCGGCAGATATCCACGATGCCTGCCGTGCTCTCAAGGGAAAGATGTTGAGGCAAGAGACTTACGCTATTGACGTTTTTGCCAAACCTGCTGAGGGGCCGCCAACATCGTCAGCGCCTTTCACTGTGGTTGAGTCAAACTTTACGTTGCAAATCATTCAGTCCAAACAAAGCAATCACAGTGCTGTGGCACTGGCAAGCGGGCGCGAGACGTTGACCATTACGTATGAGAGACATTTGTCTGACCCCAGGATCAAGCATGCAATGATTCTGGAGACCAATTCCTTTGGGCAGATCCTGAAAGAACTTTCTATCACATATGGCCGTATTCAGTCCGACTCCAGTTTCCCAACATCCTGGGATAGAGACATGCAGAGTCAATCGTTTTTGACCTACATTGAGAACACTCCCACGAATGCCATCGAAGACCCGCATGTGTATCCAAATAATTTTCGCCTCCCAAATTTCTGCGAGACGCGCAAGTATGAATTGACAGGGTTTGACATCCAAGCCAGGAACGGACCAGCCATGCTCAAAGACTGGACAGCCGATGATTTCGCTGTCATCAATTCTGCTGTCAAGATTGGATTTGAAGTCACTCCAACTCCCAACGTCAAACAGAAACGGCTTCTTAAGCATGATAGAACACTTCTACGCAAGGATGACTTGAGCGGTCTTTTGCCACTGACCAAAATGGAGCCGAGAGCTCTGGCCGGGAAGACGTATAAGCTAGCATTCACCTCGCAGATGGTCAACCTGCACTTGCAGAAAGATGGTGTCCCACTGCTAAGCAGTCCTGAGTCTCTGCTTAGTGGGGAGACGCCTAGTGAGGGAGGATATGTTAGTGGAGGGAGTCTCTCCTCTTCCGGGCTCTTCCCGAGTGAAGAGGGTAACGGTACCATAGGTACTTGGTGGGCACCATCCGGCCAGCTGTTCTTCGCATCCAGCAATGATCCTGCCCAGGAGCTTGATTCTGCCCGACAAACCTTCTTTCTGCCTCGTCGTGTTCAGAACCAATTCAAGGCTGAAAGTACCGTGACTTATGACAAATACAACTATCTCGTCCTAGAGACAACAGACCTTGTCGGCAATCGAACGACAGTCGGTGAAAGAGACGCCAGTGGAAGATTGCTGTCGAGTGGCATCGACTATCGTGTATTGCAGCCATTTTTAATCACTGACATCAATGGCAACCGCTCACAAGTAGAGTTTGATGCTCTTGGTATGGTGACAGCCACTGCTGTCAAAGGGAAAGTCGGAGAATCTTTGGGCGATAATATAGCTGGATTAGATGCAGATCTACCAGAGGATACCTTGCTTGACCATATAAGAAACCCGACTGCGGCCGAGTCTTCCCAGAGAATCTGTCGCGAGTACAAGAACACCGTAGATTGGGCTGCTCTGGACCCCATAATCCCAAAGCACAACACTGACCGGTTCGATCCCGCGGCTCTCGAAGGTGTCCTGTCCACTCTCGTCGAAGATGAGAATTTCAAAGTCAGCTCGACGCATGATGCTATGAATCGCCTCCTCACTTCTGTGCTCCCACACAGTACCCCAGACAACATCAGCACTGTTCGGCCCGGATACGACCTGCTGAGTCTAGTCCGCATCGACTACAATCTTCATGGCAAGGTCGATGGAGATCAGCCGGTCTGGACGCCCTTTCTCAAGGACGTGGACTATCATCCGACGGGGCAGCGCAGATTTGTCCTGCTTGGAAACGATGTTCGGACGGATTACAAGTACGACATCGACCGCAAACTCATCCAAATGACGACGCAGCGGGGAGGCAGCGCGGCAGATACCGTACAGGATATCAAGTACACCTACGATGCGATTCACAACATTACCAATATCGTGGATGCAGCCCAGCAGACGAAATTTTTCCGCAATGTGGTGGTCAAGCCAATCAATGATTATACATATGATGCACTGTACCGGCTACTCGAAGCAACTGGCAGAGAGCACCTCGGCCAAGCTGACCAGCCGTTTTGGTACTCCAATTCAGATAGTGCCCGATTCGGGCCCCAGCCTGGAGATGGAAATGCAATGGCTAGATACACGGAGCAATACAGCTACGATGATGCGGGCAACATGCTGAAGATGAAGCACGACAGCAGCAACACCCAACAGGGTTCTAGATCTAGCAGCTGGACAAGGACGTTTGACTATCGTGAAAAGGGCAGCATAGATTCCACTCAGACCGGCAACAGATTGAGCAGCACTAGCGTTGGGAACGCGACGGAGAATTATGGATATGACAACCATGGAAACATGGTGAGGATCCCGCAAATCGGCGGCAGTGCCAATGTCGACAATGCGCAGTGGGACTACATTGACAAGTTAAAGTCCCTCAACCTTGGTGGCGGAGGCACCGCTTACTTTACCTATGGCAGCGATGGCAAGAGGGTCCGCAAGGTCATTGAAAAGGGTCCCAACCTGGTAGAAGAGCGCTTGTACCTGGGTAGCGCGGAGCTCTTCCGCAGAAAGAAGAGCGGCGGGATCGTGCTTGAGCGGGAAACAATCCATGCCATGGACAACCAACGCCGCGTTGCCCTCATTGAGACTCGCACAATAGACACTGAGGGAACAGACCGCGCCCCAGGCCAACTGATCCGATATCAGGTCTCCACCCACCTGGATTCGTCCAGTATCGAACTCGATGATACAGCCCAGCTTCTTTCCTTTGAAGAGTACTCGCCGTATGGAAACACTACGTATCAGGGCACTGCTTCCACATTGGAGACACCCAAGCGATATCGATTCACGGGCAAAGAGCGCGATGAAGAAAGTGGATTGTCGTACCACGGAGCGCGGTACTATGCTCCCTGGCTTGCTCGCTGGATAAGTCAAGACGCTCTAGGAATAGGTGATGGACTGAACACCTACGTTTATTGTCATGACGATCCGGTGGGCGGCAAGGATCCCACTGGCATGGACGATACGCCGAGCTTCGCCTCATTCGACCCACTGATGAGCGAGATCTCCGACAGTGACTTCAAGTTCGAATCCATCACTCCACAGCCGGCGCCGTTGACACCGCTGGCGACACCCATGACCAAAGCGCAGGCGGATGCGCATTCCTCCGTGCAGAGATCCAAATACCGCGCTAATCCCACGCCAGAAACGCCCTACTTGGAGACAAAATCTGTGCCTCCATGGAAGGGCGCCAAAGTGCAGGCAGGCCACACGGTGCCGGCCCGGTATGCGACCGACGGTCTCTCGCCAGCCGACTGGGACAAGCAGACGATGCAGCGGTTGGAAAGCCGGAGCTACGATGTCGCCATCATGGACCAGTCGGGCGAAATTGACATCACGACCCGGCACCGCGCCCAGGACTTCACCATGATTGACGACGCAGTCGCGGACGCGCAAAAGGCGCAAAAGGCTGCCACAGGGGTTAGCGCCCTGCCGCCCGAGGGCTCCATGCACATGGGCGACTACCAAATCTGGCGCTCTGAGAACATCCCGCTGGACGAGGGCAAGGTTGAGTTCATCAAGAGCATGGGCGAAGCGCCCATTGACCACACCATCACGACGGAGATGAAGCTGGCCGCGGCCGAGGGCGACTTGTTCGTGAAGGCTTCCAAGGCCAGCAAACTCGGCAAGGGCGCGAAAGCACTCAAGTTGCTGGGCAAGGCGGGCAGGCACTTTGTCGCTGCGCTGCCGGTGCTAGGCATGGTCATGGGCCACGCCAGCGCAGCGCATGCTGCCGCAAACGGGGACCTCCAGGGCGCAGCGCTGGACGAGGCCGGCTTCATTCCTGTGGCAGGCGACTTGCTGGACGCGGGCCGTGGTGGGCTCGCGCTGGGAGAGGCGCTGGACGAAGGATTAGGTATCAGCGACGTGGCCGTCGAGCATGGCGCGGTCGCGGACAAGCTGGCGCAGGACATGGGCTTCAGCAGGGAGACGTCCATGTACATTGGCGCGGGCACGTCGGCGCTGAGCGCCATCACAGTGTCGCCGGGAATAGCACTGCACAAGACGGCGACAGAGTATGCTGACAAGGCGGCCGACAAGCTTATCAAATGGTGGAACTCGGACTGATAGAGACTGCTATAAACCGGGAGAACCGTGTGAATGGAGATCAGGGTAGCCAGTCTTCCCGGTACTTTCATTCTTGATGATACTAAAGAAGATGCGGAGGACGTACATGCTCCAAGAGCAGGCAGCAGAGGTAGACGCAAGAACCAGTTCGTTATCGAGTTAACTGATCAATAGTTAAGGCAAAAAGAGGAAACGCGATGACGGCCATGCGAGCGAGGCCGGACATAGTCTGTCAAAGCTGGAACAAGAAGAGAAGTATGTCGAGAAGGTGATTCGTCAAACCATCCGAAAAACATCCTTGATGCTGAGCGAGGATGTAACCAATCCTGCTCTCGCTGCTATCAACGTCTATATGGCGACACTATCCAGACTTGTCAGGGCACTTGTAGCGTTGCAGAACAGGGAGTAAACTGATTTATCTGAATGGCCAAACAAATCATTACATACAATGGTTGCCCGATTTGCACTACTGTCCTTCAGCAAGCCTTTTCCTGGGTCTCTTCGGCGCGCCTCGGCCGGTGAAAGAGGTGTTGGGGGTGGAAGTCCCTTGCGCCGCCGCCAGTACTTTGCTGACTGTTTCCTTGTGATTGAGAATCAGGCTGGCTCGATCACGAAAGATCATAGCGCTGAAGGTCTTCTGAAAGCCCAAAACTTTGGGAAAGTTGTGGAACGCTGAAATCCAGGTCTGCCGGTATTTGATCTACAGCTGAACATAGCCGTTTAAAGTGGCTCGGCATCCATACCTCGTAAACGTTCTTGGTGAACTTGTATGCCGTCCATTTCTCCTTTCCATCCAGGGCTGTGAAGCTGAACTCGTGTATTGGATGGCGGTAATACTTGGTGTCCTTCCCATCAATGGCTGGGTAGTGTCCATAGATTCTCACCGATCTGTGGTCATGCGAGATTGAGAAGACGAGAATCTCCTGATGAAGTTCCATCTCACGACCAATGAGTCTAAAGAGCTCCACGGTAGCTCTCACCGCAAGCGTCATACTCTAGGCATTCTATCAGTCCGCGATATCGAGCGCTGCAGCACCGCACTTCACCTCATAAGTAAGGAACGGGAAGTACATGTAGTACGTGGCCATGAAGTACGACTGATCGCCGGAGATAAAGTTGCCAATGAATGGGGCAAGCTTGCCGAGCTGCTCGTCGGTAAATGCCTCTCTTCTGAAACCCACAGAAAATTCGGGCTGTGGACGCGTTCCTGTCAAAGGAAAGGAGTTGTTCCAGCCTTCATTGACACTCTCAGCTAGAATCATGAGATATTTAGCACCGCGTGCAGCCAATACTTCTGTTGAACGGCCTTTAATTCTAATCATAGAACGAGCTTTTCCAGGGACAACAGATTATGTTAGAGAAAACCAGATCGAAGACGCCGCTGTGAAACATGTTTCGTCAACTCAGCAAGCAGTGGTGAGAGATGTTGCAGAATTGATTCCGCGGGGCACATTCCAAATTGGCCAGGATCTCTTGAAGCTTCGAACAGGTATGGCTAGAATGATTCAGAAGCACAGTAATCAGACTCGAGAGACCGAAAAAGAAAAAACAAAGCAGTCAAAGCAGCAGACCTTCACAAAACATTGGACACAGTGGATCACCGCAAGCCACTAGATGCGAAGGTTCTCCCCAAAGCAGCCCACGCAGAGGACTGTCGAGACCACTGCAATGCGCTGGAAGCGAAGATTCCCCCCAAAGCAGCCCACGCAGAGGACCAACACCAAAATATGGAAACAGTGAATCACCGCGAGGCTCTAGACGCGAGAGATCCCCTCGAAGCACTAGGCTCAAGGAATCGCCAAGACCAAGTTGTAGAGGAGAAGAAAATCCAACACCAAGCGGTCAAGTTCGGGAGCCCTCGCGAGTTGTTCATCTCAAGGAGCGATCGCGAAGCAGTGAATCGTGAAAATCGAACACATAGCACTGGAAGGAACAAGAAGCAGATGTGGTGGTGGGTCATTTGGAAGACCATTGATGTATACAGAAAGCTCAAGCCATTGCTTTCAGAAGAACAACTCCAGCGGTCAAACCCTGTGTCATTACATAGATGATTTATCTCAAGCCACCATCATCACTGGTTATGTTGAACGCGCTCAATACTTGCGCGCTATGTTTGGCAGCTCAGTAAAGCTAACTATATCTTGTTACAAATATTCATAATGAATTTTGAGAATTTTGAATGTCAGGACCGCAGGGTTCTAAATGGCGTGACAATCTAGGTTAAATATAATGCTTGGTACTACCCACACCTTCTGTCCACAGTCTTCGGCATCTATCACCGCGAACACCTCCCTTCTCGCATTGTCATCTACCTCAGCCGTCGCACCACTGCCAAATCCCCTAAGCTTGGGCACCATCTCCTATCCCAGCCCACGACTGGACTCCTTGGCGAAACACGCCCATGCTCGCTACAAACTTTTTGAAATAAAATTCTATCACAACTAGAATGCATTGGCCCGTGTAGGTTAACTGTTTAAATCAACCATGGATACGACGCCATACCGCCAGATCCGTACGCTCTACAACGCCGACACAATCACCGTTTACCAGGCCTACAGCGCCGAAATAGCGATCCCTGCCGTTCAACAGCAAAAACTCTCCGCATCCCCTGCATTCTCGCCGACGCGCATGACATGGATCAAACCCAGCTGGTGCTGGATGATGTACCGGGCCGGCTATTCCTACAAGGATGCGCGACAATCTCATATCCTGGCGCTGGAGATGAAGCACGAGCATTTTCGCGAGCTGTTGATGCATGCCACCGTGGTCAACCATGAACCTCCGCGCCCGCTGACAGAGGAGGAGAAGGAGAGGAAGGTTCGGGTGCAGTGGGATCCGGAGCGAGATCCTCGGCTTGGCATGTTGCCTTATCGCAGCATCCAGATTGGGATTCAGGGGGACTTGGGGAGGAAGTGGACGGAGGAGTGGATTTGGGCGATTAGGGATGTAACGGACATGGCGCGAGAGATGAAGAGAGCCTTGGATGAGGATGCTAACGTGGGTGAGGAGGAGCTGAGGAGGAGAGGTTTGATGCCAGACGAAAAAGTGTATAGTGTTGATGAAGAGTTGAAAGAGGTGCTCCGAATGGCATAAGAGAGAGTAACGATATTTCCTGGGAAAGACTGGATGCGCATTTCAGTTTATTGACGAAAACTCGTCGATTAGATTATGCCAACAGGCGGCAGATTATTGATTAAGGAGCTATTGCTGTTTGCTTCATACCAATATCGGTGGATGGGCTCTACGACAAGCGAGTGGGTTGTGGGTCGACTGAAAATGAAACTCCCTGTACCAAGCTCTAGTTCTCGACTACAAATCATGTCGGTCATAAATTGTTGAACTGCTGCGCAGAGAGCGAAGAATAGCATGTTGATCTCTACATAGGGGTGTAGAGAGCGTAGAACTATGTACAAATTAGCTGTACGGTACAAGTGAAATTATCTCCAAAATTGCGCAATATTTCGACCAATAAAACGCGGGTAAATTAACAAGATAAACAGGCCTTCACAGAAGTTCAACAGAGGAACAGAACTTACGGAGTACTCTTGTTCATTCATGAAAAGGTTTCATTAACATTCTGTTTTCTGTAAATCAGATTTTCACTACTTTATACCTCCATTTACATCGACGCCTCTGGTTCGGGGCTTTGCTGGACTTCTCCTAACGATTCCATCAAAGACCTCTCCAGGTTGCCGGCCCTACTGATAGCTCTCAGGTTCGGTCCGAGACTAGAGATCTAGTCACGCTTTTGAATCTTTTGTCAGCGCAATCTATTACACGAAGACGAACGGTATAAAGGCCAACACCATAAGTAGTAAGGCTTAGTCAAGTCAAATCACGTTGAATAGATAATGTGATCGTAATAATAAGGAATGCAAATAATGCTACATTAATAAGAACTAAAGTATACTAAGAAATAATGAAGTCTTCCTTAATTTATGAATTCTACCCGGCTAGTAGTTTCTTGCATAATGAATTGCCAGTAAGCTTTTTATCCACCACTCTGTCATAAAATGACGGTATTTATCATTGGCTCAAATATCCGCAGCCAAGTTATTTCACGTGACTACCTACCAATGAAAAAGTACCATCTCAACCTTAAGTCTCTTTAAGTTGCGCCTGCAGCGTACCTCGCGTCCGTGGCGGATATTTGAGCCAATGATAAATACCGTCATTTTATGACAGAGTGGTGGATAAATACGTCTTAGTGTCGTGTTAAATATGATTTTTAAAAGGGCTAAAAGCAGCCCCGAGCTGCTTTACAGCTGCTTGTAGCAAAATATTATTATTATAAGCACTTTTAATAAAAATCCTCTTTTGACAGAACAGAACGGTTTTTAGCTGTTTAAAAAATTGCAGATGTAGAGATGATTTTGAGAATGGAAGTTGGAGAGCGGGGATCGAAAGTGGGGATGTGACCATAGCCCAATAATGGTTCCGCCGTAGGCTGGGGCTTTCTCCGAGCTTTACTCAATAGACCCGTGATCTGGCGCGGTTGAGGAGTCTAAAGCGGGATAAATTTTGCTCATCAATGACCAAATGATGTACTACAGGAAGCGAAACTAAGTATCACTGCAGGTGGCTTGCGCAAAAGCAATAATTTCTCTGAGCGGATATAACTTTTCAGCTTAGGAAGGCGGAGCGTCACCGGAAGCATCTCCATGCAGAGCAAGAAAGGCAAGGGCGGTACACTGCCTCAACCTGATGCCTACTATGCAAACAGAGCGGTGGCAACTCGTACAGAATGCACAGTATGAAGAGTTCCGCTGGCTTTTCGGCCGTTGTTGGGAGAAGCAAGAGTTGTGATCCCTCCTTCTAAGACTGAATCGAGTAGATCAATTCTTCTAAGATGCCACCACGGAATAAGGACAGCTACTGCTACACTCCGCTTTCAGACGGACCGTACATTCGAATCTTGACTCTCTACCCAGGCCACCAGGCAGACCCTTTGTCAGGCGAGCTGCAAGTCATCCATATCGAGGAGACTGGAGAGTACGAGCCATTGTCCTACGTTTGGGGGGACTCAGGTCGCTGCTCCGAGTTCATCTGTTTTGACAAGAGCATCGAATTGACAACAAGTCTGCAAGGAGCGCTGCAGCGAATCAGAAAGCAGGATCAACCGCGCCGGCTGTGGGTCGACCAGTTGTGCATCAACCAGAATGACCAGGAGGAGAGAAGCAGACAGGTGCAGTTTATGAATACCATCTACAAAAATGCGACGCATGTTCTTGTGTGGCTAGGGGATGATCCGCTCGATGAGTCGAGGAATGCGTTTGAGCTGATTCGTAGTCTGGATCAGACATTCAAAAACAAGGAAGAGAAGGAGAAGTTCCGCGTCCGGTACACTGAGCAATTACATAAGCAGTCTGTTGAGGATTGGGCTCCTTTGGAGCATTTGACCAACAAAGCCTGGGTAAGCCAATCCAATCCGGTTGAGATATTCCCTGCTAACTCTACCAGTTCACTCGCGGTTGGATAGTCCAGGAAATCGGCACCCGAGCCCCTGCAACCTTGTACTGGGGTAAATCAGAGTGTGACTGGGCCCTCATCAACGGCGTGGTACAAGAGCTGGCTGACTTTCACCACCTACGTGGCCGCTTTGGCTTGAAAACGTCGTTGATTAAGTATATGTTCCAACGTTTCATCGAGCCGCCAAGGCTGAGTCGACATGCCAACCGGTTCAGCCTGATGTATGAGCTTCAAAGAGCACGCCACTGCAAGCTGACCGACCCTCGTGATCGTGTGTTCATCTTCCTAGGTCACTACTCCCTGCGCATGGGCAACACACTACTTGCGGAGATGCGGGCAGACCACAGCAAAACCGTGGAAGAAGTGTACGTCGACGTTGCGACAAGAGCGTTGCTCGGAGATCCGGAAAGGAGCCTCATTACCCTGGCCTCGGTTCAGCATCCAAAATTGCCGGCGAGTCCTGGAGCGACGATTGAGAATGATTTGCCGTCCTGGGTGCCGGATTGGCGGAGATCAGAGGGTCACCTCATGTCCGAACCTGTAAGTCCACATTGTGCACATGGCAACAGGACTTCTCAGGTAACCATCGAGGGCGGTCTCCTCTCCGTGCGTGGAACCAGAGTGGATGTGATAGAGATATGTTCCAAGACATTGAAGTGGAAAGAATTCCACTGCGATCCTACGCGAAAGGACCTAGCGATCGAGTCCTTGTGGACAGATGTATGCGGCGAGACCAGCTTTGATCTTAAAACTCGGTATATGGACGATCCAAACAGCGATTCTGCGGTGTTTGCATACTTGCAGACGCTGAGCGTCGGTGGGATAGCCACCGCATTGAGAGATGGTCGACGATACCAGGACATTGACCGGAAGGATTTGTTTGCGCGGGGGCTTGCGTACTTGACAAAAGCTCTAGGAACGTCGAACCTCGTTTCTCCCGAGCTTCACCAGATGGCGGAAGGCGGTGATTATCATAACTGGACCCGTGATGCAGATTGTGCAGCGAGTAATCGTGCTTTTGCCCGTACGCAACAGGGTCGCTATGTGCTGGGTCCAAGGGTGATGCAACTTGGAGACATATTATGTGTCCTGTATGGTGGAAAGATGCCGTTTGTGCTGCGGGCCTGGTCCAATGGCGACTTTCTGCTTGTCGGAGAGTGCTACACCCACGGCTTGATGGAAGGCCAGGCTGTTGACATGATGGAGGCCGGCGAGCTTGTTGAAGAGACGTTCCATGTACGCTAGATGTATGATTTCAGTAGCATTGTTGAATTTCTTAGGCTGTAGTGGACTTGGTAAACAGCAAGATGAAGCTCAAGTCTCCTGCTCCGAAGTCGACTCAACTTGGAAAGCTTCTAGAATGACAGCTTTCTGATCCGCAGTAGTGAGTTCCAGCTTCGTCTTCCCGGCGCTCCCGTCATGAACCTCTTGCTCTGTAGTCCAAAGGAAATTCTGATGTTCCAGCGGATCCAATCGTACAGCGATACCGGCATCGCCAGCGTCCACTTTCACAATGAAGTTTAACTTGCGCACAGCCGTACCGGTGAGGGTGTCGAAGACATAACCGTCGCCCACTGGTGGTCCAATCAGTTTGGCGACGAGACCGGCTTCCTCCCATAGCTCTCTCGCAACACTGTGCAGCACAGTTTGATCCTCAGCGTCGCAAACGCCTCCAGGAGTTTCCCACAGGTTGGGCATGCTGTCATTTGCCGCGCGCTGGATGAGCAAGACGCATTTTGGGTCGGATTGGTCAAAGACAATGGCCCCTGTTGCGAGATATTGATAGAATGCTGGCACGTCCGGATTCTCTAAGATGTACGCTTCGGCAGAGATTGAAAATTTGGACGCAGATGTATGTGGCTGAAAGACATTCTTCAAGATAAGAAAAGGATTGACCTTTGGCTTAATGCTAAAACCGCTGGGACAGATGAGCTGAGATGGCTTTTGATAAGTATAAAGGTGAACACAGCTAGTGATGAACCTCGAGTCTTGACTTGACTTAAATTGACTTTATTCTTACGCCGCAGGTGCCCGGTTGAGTCGACCGCCGCTCCACTTAGCTAAAACCTTAACCTACATTGCCCTGCGCCTAGGTCTTGTGGTTCTCCTGCTTCTTGCCTTTGATGACTTGAAAAGTTACACGACAGCGAGCTGTAGAGAAACGATGATTTGTTTACAGGATTCGGAAAAAAATAACCAGTCAAGATTGCAGCTCACGTCTCCATCGAGCCGACGATCATTCAGGCACTGAATGACCGAGCCAATGCAGGTCGAGTCCGAAAACTTGCATCCGAGGGGCCGCCGGGGGGGAGTAAGGGTAAACAACGTGCAGCTCTGCGTATGCACAATCCTCAGCTGTGCACACGTTTGCTTTTGATATTAGTCCTAGAAAGTCGGCAGCAGTAAATGATCTTCGTCGTCTTACAATTCAGATCTACTTTCTACATGGTACTTCGAGAGAGATTCTCCATGGCAATTCCGGCATGAGTGGATTCCTGTTACAGGATAACTGTGGAAGACAATAGCTTCATTCTACAGACACGCTAAGGAACAGGGCTAGAAGGGTCGTATAAATGATTTGAAAACTACTTAGTACATAGTTTACTACTAACATATGACGAGCGAAGGCGCGATACGGATTGCAGCCGAGTTTTTCGCATACTTACCAGGGGAAGAGCTCTGAAAATGACGTGGTATTGGTCCTTAATAATTTAGCAGACGTTGCATTATTTTAAGGATGGTCAGAAGTCTCAAATGACCATAATTTAGCCATAATTTAAGCGTTATTTTCCTATAATAACGTCTGAAATAACATAATTTATTAGATTTCAAATGTTTAGCTGCATAATTCTATGCAAACTAGATCATATCACCGTTAGGCTGAAACTAAGCTCACATTGATGGAAATTTAGGCATAGCTTCCAGAGGGCCTTCCCCTACTAAGTACTTCATTAAGGAGTTTTGAGACGGATTAATTGCTAGTTTGCCTTGAGACATACAAAAACCAGGTATTACCTGCAACCTACTGTAAGTCATAACACTATCCACCAAGCTCCGCAAATGTAGGTAGTACTGGGCTGCATTGATGAGCAGCTGATCATTTCTCAGATAGAATTGAAGCATGTTTCAGACAGAAGAAGGAACCGCGATTTAGAATGCGCGCAAAAGAGGCTGCTTGGAGTGGAACTGCTCCACGAGAACATGGCAACAATAAGGGATCATGGTGTACACCGGAGACTTGTCATTTTAGGCCTGCAATCTGGTCATTCGGTTTTGCCAGAACACCATTTCCAGTCGGAATATCGACGAACGGTGAGTTTCTAACTGCTCTGCTCCTCAAAAGTTATGTCATCTCGTTTTGTTCTGGCCAATCTATTCCACTATGAAGACCGACAATTATCACTTAGTTTCGAACATGTTACAACCAGCACTAGTTGGCAAGACCATGGCCCCGGCTCGACCATTGGTTTCTATAATCTCTGCAATGGACGTATCGAGGCTGACAGGAGCTCCCCTACGTATTTGAAGCACTGCAAAGCCATGGAGAAAGCTCGCATCGCCTCAATGATATTGACACAGCTACTCAATGGGAACACGACCGTTGGCGGCAACATGGAGGACGAACCACGACAGGGAGACAAAGGGTTGCCTTCAGCATCAATGGGAAATACGCTCGTGGTTGCAGATGAGGCTTTTGTTAACTGCGGCGCAATACACACGCACTCCAGGAATCTGTTCTTCTCCACCAATTTTACATTTCCCATCATCACCAGCAACGAAACTAAGCACCACCTTGCCTCTGTTCAGCACTTGCACGTATCTTCCCCGACCTTGAAACTCGATAGTGAACTCCTACAACGACGTGGTAGCTCGGTCTTCGATATATTGAGATAGTGACAGGAGTTTGTATTTTCAACGACCATCTTGTAAAGACAAGTCTCCCGCATGCTGGAAGCAGCAAGGTGAATGCCAGCCACCTTTCCCTTGCACCAGCTACTATAAATGAACTAGAGTATATTGCTCGTTGGTCGTCTACAATTGCAGACATGGCCGTGATGTTCATCTCACGAAGGGGAAAGGAGCGGTCGGGCCCAACCATCAGCATTGGGTTAGATATCCCCAGTTGGCACTATCACCCTTCTGTGGTACAAGCATATGAACGAGGCCATTGTAATGCAACCGAAGCACTACGATCGATGGATGCTGTTAACCGGCGCCATGACCAGATCTCCTATGTCTTCACCAGTGCCATCCAGCACGAGCTCCGAAAACGAGGTGCCAATTCAGGCGACTATGATATACACAGCTCGGACAAGACCAATCCAGTAGCGGCCGCAATCCGCCAAGGTCTGCAGATAGGCAAACTCCCATCGTTGGAGGACTTTGTGCAAGGTCTCAGTCTTCAGAACAACCATCCGTGGGGAGATTTCTGTACGTTGATTCCGGAGAGGGAGCAGCCACAGGATCTGGACGGGTTGGTCTACTTGTTCTACGTCTTCGAAGCCGTTAAATCCGCACTTACGAAAGCCATTGCCAAACACCATTCAACGTTCTCACAAGGAAGACCGGAAGCTGCTGCTCCGTCTACTCCTAAAGGTTCCAGGATAGGAACCAAGCCGAGTCGCTTGATCTTGAGCGTTGATGACCCTGCTGAGCGTCGCATCTACACCAGGGCACAGCAAGTCTTGAGGAAACTGCGATCATCTCGGAAAGATCTTCCAAGTCCAGTGCTTGTGGAGACTTACATGTGTCGTAGAGTCTTTGTAAATGGTAACAAAACTCGCGCTCGCTTGTACCGACAGGATACCACCCCACAACCAATTGCACTTCTCACTTCCCCCAAAATCAGCAATGACGCCGATAACGCTCGGATGGTAGGACCATTGGATGTAGTGCGTGAACTATACGGATATGAATGTGCATACAACCTGCAGATGTGGCTGATGGATGTTGGCCTGCCCTCACATTGAAACATTCGGAATTGAGACCAACAAATGAAACTCATTGGCGCCTGAGGACCAGGGCGATGGCGCACAAACCTGCAGAACTATCAGTAACATGTAACACAAGTGGTCTGGCACCCGGATCTGTCGCATCCTCATTTGACCCCAAGTCACGGTCTGTATTGAAGCTCGTCTTGCTGAGGCTCGATGCCGTTCTGCTTTGGAATCCACACATGCATCAATGCAATGGGAAAAGAACTTTGCAAGTCAATAGATCTTCGGTACCGATTTCACCTACGGTTCTTCACTGTGTCACACTGTTGTAGGGCAATGATATTGTGCATGTGGATGTAAGGACGGTCCATGCGCCATGACTCAATGACTAATAGTTAGGCTGCTACATGGGCCGGGTTGGGCCGGGTTCTAAGGGGGTCGGGCGACACCCGGCCCAAAAACCCGCGGGTTGGGCCAGGTTTTCTTGGCGGGTTCTTGGCAGCCCGCTAAGATGCTAAGAAGTATTAGCTAACCTAATTAGGAATAGATTGATTTTTATTTTGAGAAAAAGCTTCTATTTTTATTTTCTAATATAATTATTTTTTCTTAAATAATGCTTTTTATTGATTACTATACAGATTATTATATAGATTATTACTAAAAATTAGGTCAAAAAAGTCTTAGCGAGCCCTTGGCGGGTTTTAGGCCGGGCTTAGCATAGTCTAACCCGGCCCAAAACCCGACCCGCCCTGGGTTGGCCCGGCCCATGTAGCAGCCTATATAGTAGTAGTAAATTCTATTAACCTAATCCAGA